CCGTGCTTTTCACATAGACGCATTTGTCACTTTCGTTTATTTGAAACCCATTAATTAACATTGCATGATCGAACTTTTCGTGCCACTGTTCAGGGGCTTGTTTCAATCCGTACAATGATTTAATTAATTTACAAACCTTCTTTTCTTGGCCTGGAACACGAAAACCCTCAGGTTGTTCCATATAGATTTCTTCGTCTATATCGCCGTTTAGAAAAGCGGTTTTTACGTCCATTTGATGAACTTCCAAATTCCGCAAAGCGGCAATTGCTAGTATCATCCTAATGGAATTTATTCTCGTCACAGGAGAATACGTGTCAAAGTAATCATGGCCTTCACGTTGCTTGTATCCCTTGATTACAAGTCTGGCCTTATACTCATCAATGGAACCGTCAGGTTTCATTTTACGTTTAAAAATCCACTTGGATCCCAAAGGTTTACATCCCGGAGGGAGATCAACCAATTCCCATGTGTGATTTTTTAGGATAGATTCCACCTCACTTTTGATGGCTTCTTTCCACATAGGTCCTTCGGTAGACGTTACGGCTTCCGTATAAGTCCGTGGCTCATTTTCTACCAAACATGTTAGAAAATCCGGTTCATTTTCTACCATACAAGTTAGAATATTCGAATCGAATTCTACCAAGTATGTGAGAAAATCCGGTCCGAAGGATTTTTCAACTCTAGCACGTTTGCTACGTCGGGGTTCGGGTTCTTCACCGGATCCCTCGCTGGTATTTTCCATAGCTACGTCAAATGTTCGTTTTGACGTGCTAGGTCCATCGTTGGACTTGCATGGAAATACGTCTTCAAAGAATGATGCATTCCTTGACTCAATTATTGTGTTTTTATGTACGTCCGGATTATTCGAATCGTACACTAAAAACCGATAAGCACTACTATTTTGTGCATATCCAATAAAAATACAGTCCACCGTTTTTGGACCTATTTTTATTTTCTTAGGTGTTGGTACAAGCACCTTAGCAAGACACCCCCACACTTTTAAATATTGATAGGAAGGCCGTCTGCCTTTCCACAACTCGTACGGAGTTTTATCATATTTTTTCCGGGGAACCTTATTTAAAAGGTAATTGCTTGTCAAGATTGCTTCCCCCCACATTTATTGTGGCTGGCCCGAACTTACTAGCATCGCATTCATCATATCTTTCAATGTGCGATTCTTACGTTCGGCAACACCGTTTGATTGAGGTGAATAGGGTGCGGTACGTTCGTGTATTATGCCCACACTAGCGCAAAAGTCACCTATAGGTGCTTCATACTCACCACCTCGATCACTTCTAACCGTTTTAATCCGTCGATTAAGTTGGTTTTCCACTTCATTCTTATAAAGAATGAATTTATCGATTGCTTCGTGTTTATTTTTCAACAAATAAACATAGCTATAGCGAGTGCTATCATCGATAAAAGTAATAAAATATTTATTACCGCCACGTGTTTGTATTGATTTAAAATCACAAAGGTCACTATGAATTAATTCTAGTGGTTCCGTTTTTCTTTCAACCGATTTGAAAGACATTTTTTTGTTAGTTTTGCCTCAACACAAATATCACATTTGTGCTTCACATCAATTGTGAATTTAGGAATGTGTTCCATGTTAATTAATCTACGTATAGAATTAAAATTAACATGTCCTAGTCTACCATGCCACACATTGGAAGACTCAAGCAAGTAAGCAGAAGGGATTTTATTATTATTATTATTAATAATAGTCGTTACATTGAGCTTAAACAGCCCGTCACATGCATACCCTTTGCCCACATACATTCCCGACTTGGACAAAACTAATTTATCCGACTCAAAAACCATGCGAAAGCCGTGTTTGTTCAACAACGAACCGGAAATCAGGTTTTTGCGTATTTCCGGAACGAACAAAACTTGGTTTAGAGTCAGCTCCTTGCCCGAAGTCATCTTCAGGACTACCTTGCCCTCTCCTTCCACCGCTGAATGAGCTGAGTTTCCCATCCACACTCTCTCACCAGTTGATGGCTCAAAAGTAGTGAATAACTCCCGGTTTGAGCAAATATGCCGAGTAGCACCGGTGTCCACGAACCACTCCTTGGAATTGGATCCAACGAGGTTGACTTCCGTCACCACGGCCACTAGGATGATGTCTTCATCCTTTTGCCCACCTTGCACCAAGTTGACGTGAGAATCTTTCTTCCTCTTTGGTGCCTTGCAATCCGAGGACTTGTGTCCATTTTTATTGCAATTGAAGCATTTTCCATTGAACTTTGTCTTGGAAACGCCTCCCTTGGGACCGAGCTTGCTCTTCCCATTATTTTTGGTTTTGGAGCCTTTTGCATGCTCCACCACGTTTGCCTTGGCGCCATGAACAATTGGGAGTTTCCCATCATTCTTCCGGTTATCCTCTTCAATCCGCAGACGGAGGATCAATTGCTCCAAGTTCATTTCCTTTCGCTTATGCTTAAGGTAGTTCTTGAAATCCTTCCAAGCCGGCGGCAACAAAAGAATAATTGACGCCACTTGGAACGACTCACTAACTGTCATTCCTTCATCTCGAATTTCGTTGAAGATCATTTGCATCTTCTCAACTTGACTTAAGACCGTCTTCGAATCCACCATTTTAAAATCAAGGAATCAACCAACAACAAATTTCTTTGCGCCGGCATCCTCGCTTTTATACTTGTGGTCCAAAGCATTCCATAGCTCCTTAGCCGTAGCTAATTTGCTATACATGTCGTACAAAGCATCATGCAGCCCGTTCAACACGTAGTTTCGGCATAGGAAGTCAGAATGCTTCCAAGCTTCAACCGCGTTGAAAGATTGCGCATCCACCTCACCCCCGGTTACAACCGGTGCGTCCTCGGTCAAGAAACGTGCAAGACCGAGAGTAGTGAGATAGAAGAGCATCTTTTGCTGCCACCTCTTGAAGTTTAACCCATTAAATTTTTCGGGTTTCTCCACAGAGTTGCTTGGCACTGTCACCATCGGGATAGCCCTTTGGTTCAAAGCAGATGCTCCGCGTTGTGAACTATTGTTCACTGGAGCTCCGCTTTCAGAGTGATTGTCGTTCAGAACATTCTGCCCAACACCAATCTCGTTTTCTTGAGAAGTCATTTTCGATTTCTTAACGTTTTTCCGAAAGCCCAAAAAAAGATTTAAGTTCGTTCACAGAAGTGATAAACTACGTTTGTAAGATTGTATCTGTATGATACAAGCTTAGCAACAAAATACGTTTTAAGATTGTATACCTCGGTATAACAATCAAACAAATACGTTTTAAGATTGTACCCGTATGGTACAAGCTTAAGCAAACAAATACGTTTTAAGATTGTTGGGTGTGTTTCGGAAAATAAAGAAAATTAATTAAAATAAATTAATTAAATAAAATGACTATAGAAAAACAAGAAAGGAGAAGAAGCAGAATTAGTCAAAGCTCGTGCTACGCACGATGTCCTTAAAACGTATTTGTTGCCTCCTACGGTGCTAGGAGCGTTGCAAAAATCGTTTCCCAGGATACGATGACTACGAACTAATGTTTGAGCACACAAACAAGAGTTCCAGCGAACGAGAACACATGCTGAACACAAAGGAAATTTTCAGAATGCTGGCAGTGTGTTTTAGAGCTAAAACATGTATGGAGTGTAAGAATGCGTGTAAGAACGTGTGTTGTTGCAAACCACCTGCCGGCCATTATATAGGAGGATTTGTTGTGTGTAAATGGTGAATTAATGGACCTGAACGTTGGACATCAATGACCAGTCCGTTGGGCATTGAATCGTCCATGAACTGTCCATTTAACGCTGCATTAAAAGATAAGAACGTTGGGCATTAATTGTTGTAACGTTTCAGAAGTGCGACAGAAGACCTCCACCAGAACACCTCGGGAGGGGTTCTGCCATCAGAAGACCCCCAGAGGGGTTCTGCCATCAGAAGACCAACGAGAGGGGTTCTGCCATCAGAAGACCAACGAGGTGTTCTGATCCGAGCACTTCTGCCGCTGGGAAAAAATTAAACGTTTCGGGAAGAAAACAAAAATTAATCGTATCTCTTGAGAGATAGATTTTTGGACGACATTCGTGTCCGCAGGTCGCCCGCGCGCGCAAGTCGCGGTTTTTCTTCTCCGATTTCGGGATTTGATTTGGACCCCCCCATGCGCGCGTGGAGAGAGCCTCTACCCTAAGGAATCTTAACTCCTTAAGGGGGGAGTCCCTTTATAAAGGGTTGCAAATCCCTTGGGTTTTCCGGTGTGGGAAATTAACACTAGAAACCCATCCTTTTTCCCAGTTTTTCCATTCTAACGGGTAAACTTCGAAAAGCGATTTCTCATTCACCCGTTATCCGTTTTGAGCGTACCATATATCGAATTGTAGCCCTTAACAAGGACAATCCGAAACCACTTTGATCCGACCAAAATCGGAAGTGGACCCCACTCAAAAAATTGCCCCAAAATAGCCATTTAATGCAATTTTTCACACATTTTTCCAACATTTTAAACCTCAACAAATAAATACGGTCAACCCCGTCTGCACTACTGAGCCAAGACAAATCTTCATGTCCATCCGGCCTGATGGGACCCGCCGTCCGGCCGAGGGCATTTCAGGCCCTTCCCGGTGAAATGTTTTGACGATTTTTTTTGAGCATGTTCTTCATCATGTATAGTTTATCCATGCCAAATTTCAGCTAAAAATTAAATCGGGAAGACAATCAAATGATTTTTTGAAAAATTCTGCGCTGTTTATATATATTAACTGCGCAGTGTTCGTAAATAATTTATTTGACTGCCTTCCCGATTGTATTTTTAGCTGAAATTTGGCATGGATAAACAAGACTTGATGAAGAACATGTTCAAATCAAAACATTTCACCGGGAAGAGCCCGAAATGTCCTCGACCGGACAGCGGTTCCCGTCAGACCGGCTGGACAAGAAGACTACTCTTGGAGCCAAAAGGCTTCATATACAAGTACAAATCTTTGAAATATCCCTCCAATCATACAATTTTAGTGCAAAGGTTTCAACTTTCAATACTTAGTTGTTAGCTTACACTATATTGGCGGGAGTCTGCCGCTTCTTTCATTTCAATCCCGCTAAAAATAACAAAAAGAAACCTCCAAAATCGAGCCCTAAAACTCAATTTCCATCAAAAGATATATCCAAACACAACAATCGTGATATTGAATCCGATGGGCAAGAGCGATGCTAATCAGCAGTTGGCCGTGGCTAAGGCGGCGTACCATAATGCTAAAGCTGACGGCAACCGCCAGGAGGAGGCCAGGTGGGCGAATATGATAGGCGACATCCTCAAGAATCGAGGGGAATACTTCAAGGCTCTCAGGTGGCTGCGCATTGACTACGACATCTCCGCTAAGTACTTGCCGGAGAAGCACCTGCTGCCTTCGTGTCAGTCACTCGGAGAACTCTATCTCCGCCTTCATGATTTTGAAAATGCCCTAATTTATCAGGTAAGCTTTGAATTGCATTTTACTTTGTTCTTCCCCCCTGCCCCACCACCCGGTGGTGGTCGGCGCTGTGCTCTACCTAGAGCTTAAGTATATATGTAACAACTTGTCCAGCATTCGTTGGATCCTTACAAAGATCAAACTTTCTTGCTTTTATTGCACGTTACTTCATACTTTTCATAGTAGTTTAGGACCTAGGTAATTCGGTGTTATGCTCTTTGTTACCGACCAGCATGCGCTATTTTTTTTAGACATTATCTTTGTAGCCGGAGGGCTTCAGATGTTTATAGAGTTAAAGTTATACTTTTTCTCGTTGAAATTAGTTGAGTTTGAGCACAAAAGGTTTGACTTTTTCTTCGTTTGAGCCATCATATTCTGTTTTGTGTCAGAAAAAACATTTAGATCTCGCCAGGAATGAAAGTAATCTTATTGAACAACAAAGGGCAACCACTCAACTAGGGAGAACATACCATGAAATGTTCTTAAAGTCTGACAACGACCATCTCTCTCTGAAAAATGCTAAGAAGTATTTCAAGTTGTCAATGGAACTTGCTCAAACTCTGAAGCACGGTCAACAATCTGAAAAGTTCTCATTTGTAAAGGAGTACATTGATGCACATAATAACCTGGGAATGCTCGAAATGGATCTTGATAACTTGGAGGAAGCCAAAACATTTCTCTTGAGGGGATTAGATATCTGTGATAAAGAAGAATTGAATGAGAATGATGATGCTCGAAGTAGGCTTCATCATAACCTTGGAAATGTTTACACAGAACTAAGGAAATGGGATAAAGCAAGAGAGCATATCCAGAAAGATATTGTAATATGTCACAAAATTGGACACTGCCAGGGAGAGGCTAAGGGATATATAAATCTGGGTGAGCTGCATTACAGGGTTCAAAAGTACGATGAGGCCATGACTTGTTATGCTAAGGCTCTTCAATTAGCTAAATCAATGGAGGATGAGGATGCTTTGGTTGATCAAATAAATCAAAACATGCAAACAGTAAAGGCCGCACTCAAGGTACGGGATGAAATGGAAAAAGAAGAGCAAGTTCTAAAAAAATTGGTAAGGAAATTGGAGACAGCCAGAGGCACAGATGGCGAGAGGAAGTGCCTACTGCAACAGTATTCATCTCTTGATCATCTCATTGAGAAAGCCAGCACAATCTTTGCATGGATGAAAGTAAGTTTCCAATCTACGCCAGCACTTTATGTTTTTGTTTTTGTTTTAATTCGTAATTTGTTTCTCAAATGAAGCAGAAAGTTCAGTTGAGGGTGCTATATGGAATCTTTTAAATTAGGATTTTATTGTTTTCCACACTCTTACATGAGAGAGATTTTCTATCCTCAAGTATTGTTTCTCAATCTCAATGCTTTTGAGATATTTGGTTCAAATTGTTATCGGGTTTTAGGATCTAATTAATCAGAATCTATTTTAGTTTCATTTTGCGCAACCCAGTTTTGTTAAAAGTTTATGCCCATTGAGACTCCCATAGAAAAGAAACTATACTCCTATTAGTTTGCGATCAGTCAGGAGATCTTCTCCTCTTCTTGCTCTTTTTAATTGTTTGTAATATCTAGTGGAGGGAAGACATTGGGGAAATTTGATTAAAACGTTTCTGCCTTTTCTTCCAATTGCCTCTTTCATCTAACTAACTTGTTTAAGCTTTGCAATACTGTTTTTCTTGTGTGGTAGTATCATGCATATGCCAAGAAAAGAAAGAAAATAGCAAGCCAGCTTTATGACACAGAGAAGTTGGGTGATTGTTTTCTTGCTATTGGAGAGTCATATCATAAGCTCAGGAAGTTTGATAAGGCTCTGAAATGGCACACAAAGAGCTGGGAAAAATTCAAAGTAATTGGGAACTTGGAGGTAACTTTATGTATTCTAGACTTGTGTTTGTTGGATGGAAATGATTGATTTTTTTCATGTATGTATATGTGCTGCGCATCTGGTTTTAACTATTTAGCTTCCTATCTCAATATGTATTTGTGTTGGATGGATCATGAATGTTTATAATATTATATCATATTTTATACAATTATACTTTCTAAATATGATATTCATGATTTTCTAATTTAATATTTAACATACAGAAGATTGTGAAAAACTAGATAATTAAATTTAAATTGACACACTGATTAAATGTTTATTAACTTTGTTTTTGTTAATGGTAAATTGGTAATAGGTGTTCTTACAAAATATGAAATTTGATCTCTATTTCAAACTACTTGATACTAATTGTCTAAGGACTTTAATTGATTAGAAAATATTTGCTTTATGTGATATTTGAACATAATATTTTGATGGGTTTATGACTCCATTTTTTGGTTTTGATTATGATGTTTGTTGACTTTTAATGATTATGCTATTATATATGTAGTATTTAATTACTTTTTTTGTATTTTTTTATATAAATTGGTGTAAAAAACAGAGGCTTATGCCTCATTGTGCAATGAGGCTTAGACAATAGGGCAATGCCAAGAAATCGCCTCAAATACGCAATACAATATTTCGAACATTGATGAGAAGTCAGATAATAAAATGAAGTATTGGCATTTGTTTTTGTATAAAAAGCCAAAATGAAGTTTGAACTGCATTTGTTTTACAAAATGAATTAAAACTGCATGCAGAAATTTTGTTGCTATTGCGGGGTGCAGTTTGAACTTCAACTAGCACGAAGTTTGCCTCTGAATTTCAGAATCCCATAGTCATTGCTGAAATTGTGTTTCAGGGACAAGCACTGGCAAAAATCAATATTGGTAATGCTTTTGATTCTAAAGGTGACTGGGAATCTGCTTTGGCTTCATTTAAAGAGGCTTATAGGCAAGTTGACACACTTGCTCTTCATTTGGCTGTTCAAGTTATTCATATTAAAGCTTTATGATGAACTAGTTTACTGCTTTTCAATAGATCATCTTAACCTGTGCCTCTGTTATTCCTTTTTCGTTCAGCATTGCTATTGAAGCAAACAAGCCTGTTACTCAGCTGGCTGCTCTAGAAAATATGCACTATAGCCAAATGATTAGATTCGATAATGTAGAAGAAGCGAAGTAAGTTCTTTTGCCCTCATGGAAAAACTTTCTGGTAGGACCCAAAAGCTCAATGCAAACAATTTTCTGCCACGATCTAGTTAATTTGACTATGTGATGTTTTTTCCACTTCTCCAGTGCATTCCGCTTTCAGTAGAATTGCTCGAACCCCATTCCTCTCACTAACATGTCTTTAAAACACTGCTACGTATTCAAATCATGAATTTGTTTTCTGATATTCTACTTTTGCCAATCTTGTCATCACAAGTAAGTTATTTGCAATCTTGAAACATTGTGGATATTTCTCTATATTATAAATAAAGAAATAGATGATTATGTAATTTTATGTAGGAGGCTACAATTGCTGATTGACAAGTTAAAGAAGTCGGGGAGTGATGATTTTGGAGAGCCAGATCTTGCAGGGGGGTCGTGCTCTGAAACAGAAACAGAGGCAGGCCCCTCACCATATGATGTATCAGATGCAAGTTTTTCACCAACAAAAAGTGAATTCTGTAATAAAAAATTTAACTTTCATGACACTGCTGATCAATCATGTGAAGATATACTCTTGATTTCCTTGCTTGATCCTAAAAAGTCAGCTAAGAAGAAAATTAGTAGCATTTCCTCTACAATTCCATCTGATTGTTTGCCTAGAAGCTTAACCAAATCAAGTAGTAGTCAAACTGACATGATTGGTCGTAAACGTACCCGCGTTGTCCTGTCTGATGATGATGAAAATAATGAGATACTTTGCTCTGGAAGGATTGTCAATGATACTCAGGTTTCTTTGTCCCATAATGTGTTGTATAATAAGGATGTTGTAGAAGATGTGGCTACGTCAGATAATTGTAAGTTTGCCACAATTTTATTTGGTTATCTACCTGTATTACGTCAATGGAAAGTTGACTCAATATATTGACAATATGCAGTTAAAAGTGGGAAACAGCAGTGTACTAATGCTCATCATGCTCAACGGGTAACATGTCTTGCCGGCATTTGTTGGTATTAATTTACTTTTGGCTGGCTACTAAGTCACTAAGTGCCTCTCTCTTCCTCTCTTTGTGTCAGGATGTCTCGCCAGTAGCCTCAAAATGTATAGTTAATGGTTGCACAGCTATGAACTTTGAAGAGAGCACCTGTTCTGACAAATCCAGGACATCAAGATTAGATGAAAGCAACTTTAGATATTCCAGTCCACACAGGCCTGTTGAAAATTCTACTTCTCATGCTAGTGACAACCCAGTACATGCTAATAATGCTTGTGGTGATGAACATTGTGTAAGTGCAAGAAAAATAGTGATCAAGTGCATACTATGCTTTTTGTCAAAATCAATTTGCAATAGTGGTATATTAAGGGGGTGTTTGAAACTGATTCTGCTTCTTTTTTTAAAAGCAAAAGCAGAATCAGAATCAGTTTTTCAGAAGCTGGTCTCCCCCTGCTTCTAAAAAACTGCTTCTAGGAGTAATTTGGAGCACTGAAAAGTACTTCTACACTTTCACCCAAACACTCCAATATCTGCTTCTGCTCCCTGAAGGAGTAAAAGCAGTTTTAAGAAGCAGATCCAAACACCCCCTAAATCAGCAACCTGGCACGCATACAATTTACACCATTTTTGTGTGGTATCCTAGCACGGTCTTTTATTTTTGATAATATGAAAAAAGAAACAGTTACGCTTCTGATACTATAAGTCCATTAAACTCTACTGGTTTGTGATAAATCCTTTGAAAAAAATGCTCAACAATGTTAATGCATTGTTTACTTGAAGAAGCTCAGCCATTTCTGTTGCTGCTTCAGTTATTTACAATTTTTTTCACATAACTTGATATGCTAATATAATTGCAGAAGCATATTATTGTTAAAATTGGTGAAGACTATGTTCATGTAGAACCAGAGTCATGTATGATTGGCTCTGGTATCAGCATAGATCAATTGAAGATTGAAGTGGCATGTTTGTACTACAGAAAACTTCCTCATGAGAAGAGAACACAAGGTAGGCTATAAGTTCAAGTCATGAACTATCAAATCAATTACATTTGTTCACCTCCTATTCTAGGTATTCACAAATAAAATACTGTGCCCAAACTATTCTTCTGTAACTGGGGAGTAGACATTCCAGTAATGGCCTTGTAGGCAGTATTATAGTCAACTCTTCCAAGCACTAAATAATCAGTTGAATACTAAATTAGTACTTTTGTTGATATGATTTTCTACCTACAACTTCATTTTTTCTAAAGACTAGACCATCTCACCATCCTTAGCTTTTATAAAAGTAATTGGTCAATACCCAATATGTATAGGAAACCTTAAACCTGAACCTACCAAGAATAGGAAACCGTAATACGGAGTACTATTTAAGGTCTGGGTACTTTATACCACTTTATTTAGTTTAACATAATTCATTACACAGTAGTTATTTCTACTGTCTAGGGCATCATAGTTTATGCGTTTGGTCTATATTTTAAGATGCACTATCAATCTATTGATTTTTATTTATTTATTCATTTACTATTTCTGAATCCCTCACTCTTTCATTAAGCAATTTAATAACTTTAACATATGCCATTGTGGCAGTTTTGTTCCACAATGTGCATGTTGATTTTTCGATATCAAGTTTGGCAATGAGCATGAATATAGCAACTATCTCAACTCATCGCTGGCTCATGATCATTTTCATGCCAATGAAAGAACATATGATGATAGTTTTGGAATTTTATCTCATTATTGCTTTAGAAGGTTGTGACAGGAAGGACATCCGCATAAAACTTCACCATAATTTTTTTCTTTACATTAATTTATTGAGTTAATTAATTTTGGACAATCAGTTAACATTTTAAATTCATACCAGCGGCCCAAAGTAGTTGGGTAGTGAACACATGACTTTGTGATACATCAGATATTTTATTTGAAGTTTCTCTCAGCCAACAATCAACAATTGTCAGAAAATGAAAACAAATGCCATCGAGTCTTGAACTCGTTCACCTGCTTCTAAAACAGAGAATGAAATTAATTTAATCTTTTTACTTAAATAAGGATGAAAGTTTAGTACAAGTACATCCTCCCTCACATTATTAAAAATTTAGACTTTGAAAAACATTGTATACAGCTAATTCACATAGAATTGCCTTGTCAGGTCTAGTTCCAGTTATTCAATATGTGAAATATGATGGAAGGGTTCTGGAATCCTCTGAAACAGTTGATATTCTAAATGACCACATCAGCAGAAAGAGTTGCATTGAAGTTTCTCTCGGTGGTACTGACCATGTCATCCTCATCAGTCCTTTTATTTCTTTTTCCTTTTTAATGTGGTTAGTCATTAACCTAAATTAGTTAACCATGCTTATTTAATATAGCTACTGCAGGACTTGTGTAAGTGGCATGCTCTACTGCAATTTTATGCTATCAATTAAATTTCATAGCATTGCATATACTACGTTTATAATATGAATAAGACCTATATGGATGCTAAAGAAATTGAAGTTATAAATATGTTATTTGAAATGCTTGAAATAGTAAGCTGGGAAAACAATTGCAGAGTTTATCCCATTATCATTTTACACTAGCATTCAGTTAGTAGGCGATGGTGTGTTTCTCTTGGTTTCCCTCTAGAAGTGAAACTGTGAGGAACCTACCTTATGCTATTTCAGTTGATAGTTCATCTGGAAGTCCCCTTTCCTATTAGAGCATCTTTAGTGGGAACATGGATTACTTATAAATACATTGCCACATCATATTTGGGTAAAATTATCTTCTCCAATGGAAATATGTATTGGCTATGGTGCTGAGTTGGAATGGAAATATGGAGACACTGTCTACCTTCCCTTCTATTTTCAACAAGGCTTTCTAACAACCAAGTTAGCAAAACTCCAATAACTGTAATTTTTGTGGAAAACATTTACTCCGTATATTAATGCGGGGTGCTTGATCAGTAGCCCTCCAAAAGGGCAGCACTCCTTTGGTAAGTTCTTCCCTTCAAGCAATGCAGAACCCAAGTAGTAACCGAACAAGAGAATCATTCCACACTGTCCTGCAACCCTTTGTGTTACGGCGGCACTCCTTTTATAGGCAGAAGGGGCGAGCAGGCCTTGTATTATCCGGCGACTTCTTCTCCGGCAACCCTCTTCTTCGCCAACACTCTTCTCCGACAACCCTCAGCTCTTCTTCTCCGGCAACCCTCTTCTTCGCCGGCAACCCTCTTCTTCGCCGGAAACCCTCTTCTCCGGCAACCCTCAGCTCTTCTTCTCCGACAACCCTCGTCTTGTCCGGAAACGTCCCTCTTCTCCGGCTCGTTTTTCTTTTCGGCGAGAAGCTAAGTATATAAATATGTGTGTGTGTGTATTTACTGGCAGTACTCCATTTCTAGGCGGCTGTGGCGGTGAGTATATGTATATGGTATTTGTTGTGTAGTACGTATATGCTCAAATATGAATAGTAATTAAATTAACACATTTTTGTTTAGAGAATAGAAGAAGGATAGACACCGTTGGAGACTAAATGTAATTGTAATCAGCCGTTCGTCCACGTCAGCTTCATAGGCTGTTTAAATACACCACATGTCCATTTTATAGAGTGCAATCCATGTTCCCATTAAAGATGCTCTTAGGGTGGAATTAGTGCCATCACTTGAGCCTTTATTGGTATATCGGTATGTAATAATTTAATACTCCCTCCGTCCTTGCCAAGTTTGACCGGCACAGAAAATAATAAAGTAAAAATTGTATGGTTGAAGTTTGTGCAAAGGAGAAAGAAATAACAAGAACCACCAATTAATTGATTAAATGGAAAAGTGGCAAAGTTTTTATGACAATCAAAAAAGGAATGGTGACAAAGTTTTAAGGACGGAGGAGGGAGTAATAAAAAACAACCAAACTTTAATTTCAGACCAGTTGGGTTGGCTACATAAGCAAATAGAAAATATCCCATTGAGTTCATGTTCTTCCACCAATATCATTATTTGCGCCTATTTATGCGATACACTTACACACCATATTCTCATGAAGCCTCCTCAACACTGTCATCTGTTTATCATCAACTCCATAGTCCCAACCACATTGGAGTTGGTGTATTGAGTATTGACAGTTATAGGGTCAATTAATTGTCTAATCTTATTTAGCAGTATGCTGTATGCATGAAGCTGCAATACCCTAATGTATTCCTTTACATCCTCAATCCATTTCATTTCCGATCTATCACAAGTTCACAATTCTTTTTGAAATCTTCATCATTCCAAGTTCCAAGTCTCAACATTACATACTGGGGCACTTGCATCGAGTGGCATATCCAGAATTTTTTGGGTGTGGGGGTGTGGGCAAATTTACACTACGAAGATGGCTATCATTAGCATTTCACAAACAGTCAATTACATTAGGAAGAAAGTATTACAAAAGTAACTATAAGTAACATCTAACATCTCTTATTCAAAAAAGTATTATGATATATTTACTTTTCATTTTGTCCAAAAAATATCTTCACATTCCTCTTAAGAAACACTTCCTCCGTTTCACAAAACTTTGCCAATTTTCTTTATTTAGCCTTCCTATAAAACTTTGCCATTTCCATTTAAAGCAATAAATTTGTGGTTAAAGTTGTTTCTCTCTCCTCTGAACAAATGTCAACTACATGATTTTTAATTTATCATTCTACTGGAAAGTCAACTTTGGCCAAGTTTTGTGGGACAGAGGGAATACTTTTTTATTGTTGATGTAACTTCACATTCATAGTAAAAAATATTAATCATATAATTTGTACTTTCATGAAAATCTTGTTAGTAGTTATTAATTTACATATTACATAGCAGTTTTAGAGGGCAACTAAGCAAAAGTATCCAAAATTAAGCAAGTGAGGATAACTTTTAGAGGGCAGAATGAGAGAAACTAAAAATTATGGCAGATGGGAATTGATCCCGCATGGGTTGCTAAAAGCCACAACAATTCCACCTGTCCATCAACATAACAAGTTTCTATTATTTAGGCATTCATTGTATAGTTAAGGGATGAAATACAAGCACCTCCTAATTTATAAACTAGACTCATCTTGGCCACTCGATGAGTTGATCCAAAGGTTCTAGACGCATGGTGGCATTTTGGTAATAAAACCAATCTTTTTTCGGATGCAAAACTTTGAACGTTTATATGACAAATTATTTCATTGCTGATTAATGTGCAACACTTTAAACATTAATATGTAATACAAATAATGTAAAGATGCATTGTACAAATATTTGCACAATAAGCAGTGTTTGTAGCTGATCCGCTCCCTCATTGTATATATAAATAAGTTAAGTGCATGTGTATGTGTATATACAAAAAATTATATATATATATATATATATATATATATATATATATTATATATATATAAGTAGGGGTTGGGTGGGGGCTGAGAGGGGGCAATTGCGCTCCTGTGGATCCGCCCCTGCTTGCCTCTCCACAGCAAACGTGTCCAAGCCAATATGCAAGCCTATGCTGCAAAAGATAGTCAGAGGGGGCTTACATCAATATATGTTATACAGTCAATCAATGAAGCAAGCCTATGATTCATATAACTTTTTACAGAGTATATAATCATTTTTACGTATTCTATGATTGCTTTATGCAATTAGGCTTCATATACTCACAAGGATCTAACATCTAACAAATATAAGCAGTTTGGGTACCTAGGCCGTTGGTGGAACTATACACTGCATGCTGTAAAGAGCTATCTGAGTTACCCAACATGAACGTTCTCAGGAAATTGTATAATCAAGAGGTTAGTATGTGAGTGTGTATTACCCAACTTTGAAACAGATCTAGCTCTCTGGAAAGTACTCTCAAATTCGTGTCGGAAGAACCTCACGTGGAGAAACTAACATGTTCTTATTGCTTTTCTTTTACATCCCCCTGTTTATCAGGTGTCTGAGGATGAGATAGTTGTATCTGGCTGTGAGTTGCAAGATGTATCAGTGGCACCATTAATGAAAGCTTTAGATAAGCACCAGACAATTGCTTCTCTAGACCTTTCACACAACTTGTTAGGTAGGGACTTGTTATTACTAATTTCTTCTTCTTGAGCATTGTAGCAAGATGAATGTCATTATGTTGTCCCTTAGGTTTAGTTAGTTTATCTAGTTATTTCTAGACATAAATAGTTTTTTATTCATTTGATCATGTTTTATCAACTTTTTAGGAAATGGAACAATGGAGAAGCTTAAAAAAGTTTTTACTGCATCACCTCAAACCTATGGTGGGCTGGCTTTAGATTTGCATTGTAACCGGTTTGGTCCATCTGCTTTGTTTCAGGTGAAAACTCATTTGTTTGCCTTATATTCTGTATATATTAAATGAATTGTTCACTATTTCAACTACCTTCACTGTTGAAAGCTTATTAAGAATTTAAGATGCCAATTTGAATCGAAGGATTAATTTTCCATGAGGATCCTTGGTACTCTGGAAAATCATTTGGAACTGAATGCCTACAATAACTTAGCTAAGCCACAGAAAAGGAGATAAGTGGTAATATCATGTAGAGAAATGTACTGTGAGGTGTGAGCTAGTGTTAGACCCTAAGAATAGAAGGATTGGATTTGTGTTTGGCCTTCTTTTGCATGAGGTGACTATTGGTTTGATTTACAATAGAGATGGTTTTATCTAGTTCAAGTGGGCAGCGTTGGTTGGCCTAATATTCATCTGTAGGGGGGTGAACTTGCGAGACTATGAGTTTTCCGATTCTTTTGGCACATTGATGGTTCACAAATTTTGATGTAAGTTGGTAGGGTATGTCTCATGACAACTGACTGACTCTGGCTGTCAGTGGAAAAATTTCATTGTTGGGTCTTCAGAACTGAGGCACTTGAGGGGCATACAAACGGCAGGCAGTTTCACATCATGCACATGACCTGCCAGGGTAGTCAAGGTGGTATATGAAGTAGTTGTTGGCTTCACCCTTTTTGAGTTGGTTTTAGATATAGACGGTGTCTAGTGTCAAACTGTGAGTTGAACTAGATCATGTATATGCTATGATGCACCGAAACTCTCGAAAAGTACTGTTCCTGCATTGCAAAAACTCTACGGAAACTATCTAAATATTTTTTTAATTTAAAGATGATGTTTCACGTATCAGGCTTCTTGCTTTTATGTGCTATCCAGCGTCCAATTTTTTGGTTCCCACATTGGTATTTTTTTCACTTTTCACTTACATAGTTGTATTTAAATGGCGTTCTGTCCTTTGCAGAGTGAATGTCTTGTGAGTGTGTTTATAGAAATTCAAATAAAAAAAGTGCTTCCTAGGTGAAAAATAAGAACTAATCTTGACCAATGATATGAAAAAAGGACAGGAGAGATCAAATTATTATATTAAAATACTATAACAAACTAGTGTAAAGCCCGAGGCATGCCTTGGTAGCGCGTCTATTTGATATGGGTTAAAATGAAAAATACTACGGAAGAATAGATACGGTGTATTGTCAATTATTTATAAAATCTAAAGTTGAATACTCCGTATAATGAATTTTTATTATGAACTAACACAACCAATTATAGATTTGTATTTGTTAAATAATTATTAAATTATCCATCATATATTTTAAACGGAGTATTTGCTCTTTAGTCCATATCAAGGTTCTATTACTTATCGTTTCATTGATTCCTCATTAAGTATTTGTCCTCTTACTTTATAGGTATGCGAATGTCCCGTGCTATATAGTCGGCTAGAAGTGCTTAATATCTCCAGCAACCGTTTGACCGATGCATGTGCATCTTACCTTTCGACCATCTTGCAGAAATGCAAAGGTATGGAAGTCTTTCATTTATTTGAATCTTTTTTTTTCTATGATACATTTGATTCGTTAATAAGATGAAGGAAAAATATTCTTTTATGTTCTTTTTCATGGTTAGTTTAATAAAAAGTGCTACTTGTACATGCTGGCTTAGATGCCCATTTACACGCCAAGGACACGTTCATGGTTGAAATAAGCAGCGCATAAAATAAAGTCCCGCATTAATAAGCGGCACATAAAATAAGCAGTGGCGGAACTAGGGGGCGAGACGGTGCCGGCGCCCCCCGTTCGCCGGAATAGCTAAGATATAATTTGCATCGCGTCCCTGGAAGTGGTCGTCTTCTTCCCTGGTTCGCTGGCTCTGTTCTTTGCGCCCCTGATGCTGAAGGAGTGAATGAAACAGTTTGTGTTTTTCATTTAGTGCAACGACCCCGTTGTGTTTAATAGAAATAACTAAAGGAAAAAGGTGCAAATAGGCCCATGTACTAATCAAAAAAGGTCAAATAAGTCCTTATTTAGAAAGCTCTGTTCGGCCATCGTCATTTGGGGTGGTTCCCGGTGGAATTTTTTGATGAAATTTTTTGAGCATCTTATTCATCAAGTCTAGTTTACTCATACCAAATTTCAACTAAAACTTCAATCGGGAAGACATTCAAATGAATTCTTGAAGATAAGTGCGATTCTAACTGCGCAGTTATTTTCAAGAATTCATTTGAATGCCTTCCCGATTGAATTTGTAGCTGAAATTTGGTATGAGTAAACTAGACTGGATAAATAAGATGCTCAAAAAATTTCATCAAAAAATCCACCGGGAACCACCCCAAATGGCGATGACCAGACAGAACCTCCTAAATAAGGGCTTATTTGACCTTTTTTGGTTAGTACATGGGTCTATTTGCACCTTTTCCCATAACTAAACGACAACGATTTATGACTAAAGGACATCCAACTAAGACCTTTGCGAGTCTAACATACTATTGACTAATACCCTATACCCGTGCTGAAGGAGATGCATTTTGGCCGGCCCAACTTGCCAAATTTAGCATATTAATAGCCCTTAGTCAGCCTGCGTTACATAATAGAAAAATCAAAACAAAGAAAACCCTAAAGCTAACTTCAAATTAAACTTGTGAACACCGATTCTACCGTCGTCCGTCCTCCGTCGTCAAATGGATTTTCACCGGCAAGTGGCAGAATAATTGAGAACTTAAAGCAATAAATACTGAACTGACTTAACACTTTAATGCTGGAATAATTAAGTACGTTTTTCCATTCAAAGACTGTTGGTTTATACTTTATACAGGTATAATTTAATAGCTTTTGCTTTTTAATTTATAGAAATTAGGATGGTTAATGTGATATGGCCTTATGTGTTGTTATTTTGCCACTGTCAATGTACCAGCGTACCGTCATATTAATTAGAGAAAATAACTTAAATAGGAGTAAAAACATTTTGCAATTCCAAAGTAGGAATGTCATGTTTTTATTCCTTAAATATGTTTAATTTCTGACTTTCTGTCAAGTTTGGCATTAACAGGCTTTAAACATGACAGTTTTTTCCAAACTTGGCAAAAATTACTCTTATTTAGGGAATAAAAACATAAATGTCATGATTTGGAATTTTAAAACGTTTTCACTCCTATTCAGGGCAATTTCTATATTAATTATGCTACTGATACACTGAGTATATATTTTATTTTAATTAATTCAATTATACTAGTATCGCCATTTTTCAAAAAATTAATTTTGTAATACAGTAATAAATAAAATCTAGTCAAAATAGAGTATGTGAATAGGGCGAAATTTTCCAATGTTGGAACTAAAAAAGAATGGAGGTAGGATATATTTTCTTATATATAGTTAAGTGGTATATTTTTTATATATCTAATAAATAGTTTAAAGATATATTTGTTCCAAATTTAAAATCTATGCTTTTATTTCTTCAAACTGAAATTGGAGAGTATATTTGCTCTCACACAAAAAATTCAAGGTATATTATTTCATTCTCTATAATTTTCGACACCCGCTCAAAAATAGTTCTGGTTCTACCACTGGCTGTAAGCTCATGTTTACTTCAAAGGACTTAAAAACGCCGTTTAACATTTCAATGTCCAAAATAACCCTATAGACACACAAACATTCATGTGCACGCGTATATAATATAATACGTGGGGGCCACCTCGTGCGCGTACTCATACCCCTAACCCCCGCCCCAACTCCTACACTACACCCTACCCCTTCCCTACACCTACCCCTACCATGACCTCTTACTAGCGTACCCATACCCCCAACCCCCTTACCCTTACCCGTAGCTCGACCCCAGTACCCCTACCCCCTTACCTCGTACCCGTACCCTTACTCCATACCTTGACTTGTAGGCTCGCTCGTACCCCTACCCCTAGGGTTGGGGTAAGGGTAGGGTAGGGGTTGGAGTAGTGTATAGTGGGTATGGCCGTGGTAGGGGTAGGCAAAGGTTAGGGTGTTGGGGGTGAGGGTTAGGGCGGGATGTGGGGTAAGGGCACACAAGAGGGTAGGGTTGAGTTAGGGGAAGGGGGTATGGATACGGGGGGGGGGGTTGGTGTAGGGGGTAAGGGGTACGGGTACAAGGATGGGTAGGGGTGCGAGTGGAGTAAGGGGTAGGGTAAGGGTGGGTGGGGGTTAGGGTAAAAGGTTATGGTAGGGGAAGGGGGTTAGGGGTAAGGGCTAGGCAATAGGGGTGGTGGGGGTTGGGGTCGGGGTAAGGTAGGGTAGGTAGGGGTTAGGGTGGGGGTGGGTAGGGGTAGGGATGGGGGATCGGGGCGAAGGGTAGGGGGTGGTGTCAGGGTAAGGTAGGGTAGGTTAGGGGTAGGGCGGAGATAATGGCAGGGTACGGGTAACAATAAAGGGTAAGAGCAAGGGGTTTGAGTAAGGGTAAATTTGGAAACTGAAAAAACTTAAAGTGCCGCATAATTAATACATGGGGTGTATGCTTAGTAGGCGGCACTTAAGCACCTCTTTCGGTTAGTAAGCGGCTTTTTAAGCAGCTTGCATGTTTACTTCATTAGTCTTACTAACCTAATTGTGACTTTAGCAACGAAGTAAACAGGTCCCAAATGTATTTTTCCTATGCATAGACAATTGAATGTAATTTTAGTAAAGGGAACTGTTTATGACCCCGAAAGTCAATTGGTAGTCAATTGTGTGTGCACAGACAAATACACTTGGCGTGTTAGTCGGCGTGTACAAGTAGCATTTCTGTAGTTCAATAAGTGCCTGTCTCTAACATTTTGATTTCAATAAGTGCCTGTCTCTAACATTTTGATTTCGGTGTTTTTTAAAAGCTCTGTACAGTTTAAACGTTGAACAATGTTCCATCACATCCAGAACAGTTCAAAAAATTGCCGATTCTCTGGATTTAGGATGTGCGCTCACACATCTTTATTTAGGTACTACAATATCTTCTAGATTTAAACAAATATATTTCCAATTTATTCCTGTTAATTGCATGTGATATTAGTTTGATTTTCAAGTGAACAGGACACAACCATCCAGTGTCTGGAAATGCTTTGATGAATGTCTTGGCTAAGCTTGCCTGTTTGAAAAAGTAAAATTGTTATTATGTGTATTTAATCATTACATCCCATTTGAGGGGCCAATCATTGTTCTTGACATGTGGTTATTTGTAGTTTTCAAGAGCTTGATTTGAGTGGAATGAAGTTGAGCAAACCAGTGGTAGGTAAGCTTTGTGAGCTCGTTAAGAACACTAGCTTGTCAGACTTAATACTGGGAAGTACAAGTATTGGAAATGTGAGTCAATAATCTACTTTCTTATGACATTGGTTTCAAATGTGAGTCAAATAATCTACTCTGAATTTTTTACAGTTCTTTTTTACTTGGCTATAATTGTTTCTGTAGGATGGAGCACTTGAAATACTTAAGTCATTCTCCGAGAAGAATCGAGAAACTGGGAAACTCGACTTATCATCTTGTGGATTGAATTTTTTCTGCATCACAAGATTAAACATTGAAGTTTCCTTAGTAAGTTCTATTCTGGAGCTGAATCTTGGAGGGAATCCAATCATGGAAGAGGTAAGTCTTAACAATATTTATATATACTGGTGATTGTCTTACAATACCTGTTTTCTGTGAAATTAAACTTTGGTTTACTCAGATGGTGTCTGCCAACTACAAGTAAAATGCATGCATAACCTACATAAAAATAATTTGTGTTGAACAATCTTATGTAAGTCTGTAATACATTAGCTGTACTCGAAGGAGATTTAAAAGCATGTTTAATAATTGTAGTTAGAAATTTTATTTGTGCCATACAATGTCATTATTTCGTTGGTTTAGGAATATCCATAAAGCTAATAATATCTTGGAAGGGAATGGAAGCATTAGGTTGCCAAACATGGGCCAGTTTGGCGAGACTAAAATTTGTCAAGGACTGAATTAGCCCAAAGATTGAAATGGCTGAACCAACTACGGACAAGTGTTTATAAGAGTATTTTAAATGAATTATGGAAACAAAACCTAAAACATAATATTAATATTAAAAAGTGTTGTTTCTCCCAACATTAACCGCCCCACAAATAACTTTTGTATACCATTTTTTCCATGCTTAGTCGATCCCAACAATACAAATCTCAATTAGTTGGTGTTTGACAAAAATCTGGCGGATAAAGTTATTGAGTCAAAAAATGCATTGCCAAATGGACACTGAGTCTAGTGATGGGCACATTGATGTGCAAGTTGCATGATAATCAGCGCACTGAAAATGCAAATTCATCTATACAAATGCACGTCTTCTATGGTAATATTTTATGATTTATTCAAAGATCTAAGAGATTCTTGGGGAAACAGGGTGGAAATGAATTGGCATCCTTGATTAGCAATCCACAATGTTGCCTAAGAGTTTTGATACTATGCAAATGCCAACTTGGTCCTCGGCAAGTTGTCGGGATACTCAAGGGACTATCAGAAAACTGCCATCTGGAAGAGCTCAATCTTGCTGATAATCTTGATGAACTCCACAAACACCCCGCCCCGTCAAGAGACGGTCTTGCTTCTGAACAAAACATTTGCACAGATTTTAATCAACTGGAAGTTGTTGTTGACAGTGAAGATGACACAGAAGGCAGCAGTGCTCTCGCCACTGCTAACTCAGACCGCCAGTTGCTCATTGAAGAGCTTTCAACTGCTATTGAAATGGCAAAACACCTGCAACAGTTAGACCTTAGTAACAATGGGCTCACTGAAGAAGCTGGACACAGGTTGTATACATCATGGGCATTGCAATCAAGATCTGGCAGTATAGCTCAGAAGCACATCCAGGGGACTGTAATTCATTTGTCAGTCCAGGGAACCAAGTGTTGTGGGACAAAACCATGCTGCCGAAAGTTTTGAGCTCAATGAGTTCTAAGATATATGTAGTATTATATGTCATTAGGCAATAACAATTTGCAAAACCTCAATTATGTATTTGAAAATTTTAAGCATATAGAACTTGTAAGTATTAAAAACAGGGATATGATTCATATGAATATGCAGAGCCATGAACAATCTATGTATCATATGTATGCGGTGTATCATATAATCAGTTTTAGTCCTGGACTGCACACCCAAGAATGTGCACCCCTAGTTTAACACAAACTTGTGTGAAATGTAGTTATTTTTTGGCCAAGATAAATATTAAGGGTGGCTGGTGGCCTATTCAAGGAAATAAGCTTTCGTTCAAGTTTTTTTTTTTGTGAACAAGCGAAAAATAAAAGAAAATATGTTTACTTGTAATAGTACTTGGTTTAGGAATTTGCAGATTGAGTTTTTTCTAAAGTGTAGTTCTTTGCGCGTGAATGAGATTTTAAAGTTAAATAAAACATGCTACAACACTTGAACATTTTGATTTAGTTTTGGAAATTATTGACCAGTCTTAATTATGGTGAGTGCACTCTTATAATAAACTTTTATTTTTGCTTAAACAATTCTTATTTGTCATGAAAATAATATAATGACAAGTGGAAGTGAGTCAAGTGCACCAACTTCAACACGTACTTAAGATCTTCTCATCACCCCAATGTGAAATGATTCAAATTCAAGGAGGCGAACTTGAGAGGATTTTCTCAAATGATGATCTTTGCCTCGGGGCTTGCTTGAGTGATTGCACAATCATTGTTTCATCTCGCTTCAATGACAATATGCTTGAGTATTTATGAAATACTCAGACATTGATAATACAATCCTGGAAGTGTATGTTGATGACATTTTGCTAACTGGATCAAGCTTAGAAGAAATTTGAAGCATCAAGGCTCATCTCAATTAAGCTTATGAAATACACTATTTTTTGACACTTGAAGCTAGTATGTTTGAAAATGGTATAACTTTTAAAACAACTTAAATTTACAAATGAACTTATGAATGAACATCTTGAAGTTTATGGTAAAATTGTGAGTACACCTTTGCCACTCAATTTCAAGTTAGCTCCAGAAGATAGCTCTTTTTTAATTGATCTTACTCTCTACAAAGTATTGATTGAAAATTTTTATTTTCTCACACATACTAGATCAGATATTTGCTTTGTTGTCTAGACACTCGGCCAGTTCATGCAATCACTACTGGTCAAGGTATGTTACTAAGAATAGGAACAGAACTTCACCTGATTTTTAGTGACTCAAATTGGGCAATTCAACTTGTCCAACTCCTGTCACTCGTTATTTGGTATTACTAGGTTCTTCTCCTATAACAAGGAAGTCTAAGAAGCAAGGAACTTTATATAGGTTATCATAAGAGCTGAGGCTGAATATAGAGTACGTCATGGCTCACGCCCCTGTATAAGTAACTTGGCTGGTCAAGCTATTTCAAGAGTTGAAAGTTGAAGTCAAGAAGCATATTACTTTACATTGTGACAATCAATGTGCACTTCAATTGCTAAAAATCTCGTCTTTTATGAGAGGACAAAACACATTGAAATAAATTACCACTTTGCAAAAGAAAAGTTTCAACTCACTTATCTTCCTACTAGAGAGTAACTCACAGATGTATTAACGAAAATAGCTCTTTTCCCACGGCTTCATGAAATACTAATCGGGGATGTTCTTACACTCCAACTTGAAGTGGGTGATGAGATTAAAGGTTCTTAGAAGGGTACTTTAATTAGTCTGTTAGATTAGATAACAGGTTTAGTTATACTGAAAATATGTATAACAACCCCTCTCAACTAGATTTGGTACAAATATATAGGGTGTGGTTCCAGTGAGAACGTTGTTTAACGTGAGAACGTGAGAACACTCACATTAAATTCAATGTGGTGCACAACAGAGCTCTTCTATTGCACATTTTCAATTTGCTCGAATTAAGCCTATATTAAATAAGCACGATGGTATTTTGGTAAATATTATGAAAACGCAAAAAAGTGCAATATACAAGCTTCATTATGCAACACGTTGGAAGAGCTTAGCTAGTAAATCACACCAATAATCATTAATATAACCAAGCATATTACACAAACTAAGGCGAGCTTAGCTACAACTAGCTAGCTTGTTCCAAATTAAAATTCATGCATGTCAGCTTTTTCAACTTTTTTGGATAGTATTAATATGTAAGAGCATCTGATCTCCAATGCAATGAGTGCATCGGAGTTGATGTGACAATTAAATGGAAAGAATCTATTTAAAATTTGAAGGTCCATTCAAATGATCTCCAATGCTAAACAAAAAGCAAATGTGAAACAAATGGAAAGCAACTTGTAGGAGAGGGGGTGAGACCAAGGTCTCAATGCACATCTTTTTTTGGACCTTGGTCATTGCCAACTAGGATAGACCTCATTTTTTTGTTATTATTGCATTGGAGAGGACATTGAATTCATTGGGTGATCAGGTGGATAACATTTTTTGGCTGTCATCATTGGCCTTCAATTCACTAAGCATAAATGAGATATTCTATATTTGTAGAACTTAACATGAAGGCCGGCCAGGTTGATCTAAATTTAATTTATCACCATTGATATATCTCGATCTTGTGAAAAAGCTAAGCAAATAACAATACTCCATAAATAATAATAATAATAATAATAATAATAATAATAATATATAATAACAAAAATTCTATAGGTACCCCAATTTGTACCCACCCCTGTGTACACAGACAGTGTACATATTGGGATACAAATTGGAGTACACCAAGCAGCTCTCTAATAATAATAACAACAATAATAAAAATAAAAAAGAATAAAGATAATGGAAGGATGGATGGGCACGCACATGCATGTTTGTTTTTCACGCGGCCGGCCTGTAGTAAAGTTAATTGCTAGGGGAGCGAGGACGTCCGCGTTTGGAGGCCGAGATCGTCGTGTTTTCTTGAGGGACCGGACACCGGAATGGGGAACCTCTTGGGCGGCAAGTGGTTGAGGAAATGGTGGCCGCCACCGGAGCTGCTTGGGTGACGACGACTACCCTCCGCCCTGCCGATCTGCTTTAACTCATCGCCGCCGCCGCTGCTAGAGCAATCCGAAAAGCGCAAGCTAAAGATGAATACCAAATAAGACAAACAAAGAACTAGAGACAAACTCGATCCTCTTCCACTGCCGCCACTTATTCGCATGATCGACCGATCCTCAAGTTTATTATTATTTTTTTTAAGCTAGGAAAAATGATATGTTTGTCTGGCTAGCTGGTAGTAGCTAGATCGACGTAATGAATCAAAGGGTGGCCTGGGTCATTTAATTAATTAGCTAGCTAGGAATTGAAGGTGATATATGACAGATAGAGATCGAAAAGGACCGAGTAAAAGGCCGGTTATGTAGGGGTTGATGACAAAAGAATAGCTAGCTAGAATGGTGAAGAAAGTGTGAATGGACGAAAAAGGAAAACAAGGAAGGAAATAGTCAATAATGGTAGCAGCTGCTAGCTAAGAACGACGCATGCATAGTGCTAGTTGGCCGGCCGGCCGGCCGAGTAGAGATGGATGGAGAGGCTGGGGTAGTGCAGGCCCAGATCATATCATGATATGCACGTACGTACGGGGCCGGGCCGGGTAGGTGGGGGTTTGGTCCCTGCAGCAGCCAACTAAACCCATTTCCCACTCCCTCCGGCCTTGTCGTGTCTCTTACACACTTAGCTTGCTTAGCTTGTACAAGTACAATTATTTATTAACTGAAAATTTACCTAAATGAGAGTAATTAAATTCTTAATTACCAAAATAAGACTAAAGTTAAAAAATTCCCTAAGTAGGAGTTATTATCTATAGTTGCTCAAAAATACCCCCGAAGCTTGGCAAAATAGACCCTACCTTCAGACTGCCGGACCAGCCGCAGACAAACCGCTGACTGGCCGCCGCCGACTTTCGACAGACCGCCGACCGGCCGCCACCAGATGTCGCCCCCGCTTCAAAACTAGCCGCCGCTGCTGATACAATCGCCACCGTCGTAGATCTGGCCGCCACCTACCTATATCCGGCATCCGCCGGCCTCCGACTGCCGCCCTTACAGATCCGGCCATCCACACTGAATATCCGGTCATTTCCACCGCAGATCCGGCCACCTCTACAGCAGATCTAACCGAAGCCACTGCTCATGTCAACTTTTTTATGAGAATGCCAACATGAATCCAAAATGCCATCTTAATGGCATCTTAATAGCATTTTGAAAGAAAAATATGAAATTTGTAAAGAATAAGAATGCCACTTTAGTGGCATTTAAAAAAACATTGGCAATCATAAAAGCTTTAACAGTTCAAGCCGACCAGTTATATATCAACAGTTCAAACTAGGGCTGGGCACGGGCCGGGTCGGGGCGGGTAATGCAAAATAAAATGGAACCGCCGGTTCCATTGTACGGTTCGGTCCGGGTATTACAATTTTCAAAATAGGAACCGGAAATTACCCGGCCCGTTTGAAACAGGTCGGTCCGGCCCGGATTTTATGGTTTCTATTCTCATGTCTTGAAATTAGTAAAAACTCACGAAGTTCCAAAAATCAATAATCAATAATATAGGACATTAGCAAGTTTCAAAATAACAACATAGTGGTGCACATATG